GTTTTTGCAACCCACTAAAAAGACTGAGGTCAAAGTAAAAATGAATTTTTTATAGAAGCCAAAAATTTTGATTAACACAAGCATATCCGATTTTTCCTGACCCCAAAATGACTTAAAACAGGCGAAAATGACTTTCCCCATGCACTCTCCCCCGGGGCCAGATCATGGAACTCTGTTTCATCAAGAACTGCAAGAAGTCCCTATCAGGGCCCTTTTCCATCCTATGGGAGGGCATGGGGGGGGGGTCGTCCACAGTTACAAAAAACAACAGACAAGCCCCATTTCCACAAAGGGGCAGAAAAGCAACAGAAAAGAATCAGCCCAATAGCACAACACCCCATATCAAAAAAGCTTTGAAAGGGTCCCTAAGAAGCAAGATCACCCCCCATCTAAAAACCCCACAGTTACAAAACCCCAGGGCAACATGGGTTTAGAAAGGTCGCCCCGCTGTCCAACTTTTGGGATCACTACAAAAGGTCCTAAAGCCTAGAAGAAAAAAAAGAATGCAGTGTAATTATACGACTTTGCAAAAGCCTTCGGACAAGTGTACCATGGCTTTAATAGCGCAAAAAATGCGGGGAAAGGAAATAAAGAAAAGTCGGTCGATGGATTATTTTTCCCATAACAGAACACAGAGTTTAGTCGCAACAGAGTAAAGTGAGGCGCTACGGTAAAAGTTTGTTCCCAAAGGCACATACTCCCCCCATCTTTTTCCTCATCCTCATACCGACTAGACAAGGATGTCACCCACAGCCCCGTGTCTTCCTTTGCAGACACCCCCAAATTGCATGACAGTGTTTCCATTGCAGACACTGCAAAGCCCCAGGGGGGGACATAAAAACCAAATCTTTCAGTGGGCTGCAGAAAAAATTGAAGTTCAACGTGGAAATTTAAATTTCTAGATAGGTAAACATGAGGAAATTAAATCTTAACGAGTACAAAAAAATTCTGGCCAAAAATAGAGCGAAACACCAACGTAAAAGCCCTGGGGGTGATCATGTGGAGGATTCCCTTCAAGGACCATAAATTGTTAAATCGCTTTGCAGAAAAATGCGGAGGGATAAGAGAACCTTCAAAACAGGAGGCCAAGCCCGTGACACCTTCGGGTCACTTGTTCTATCAGGCTGGAATATTGTGCACCTAACAGCACCTTTCAAGGGAGGTGAATTGCCGACCTAGAAAATGTACAGGAACTTTCACGGCCGCAAAAAGGAGATAAAACATCAATTTTGGGGCGCTTGAGGTTTCCCAAACCTGTTTTCCCTGGGAAAGCAGAGGGAGAATACATGATTTATCACCTGGAAAATCCAAGGGGGGCTAGTACCGAACTTGCACACGAAAAATCATCACTACAAAGCAAAAGACTTGGGGACGATGCACCCCCCCCCCAATGAAAGAGGGGTTTCATAGCACGTTAAGAGACCATACAATAAGTGTCAGGGGCCCGAGACTGTTCAACTGCCTCCCAGCACACATAAGGGGGATTACCAACAGACCCCTGGCAGTCTTCAAGCTGGCACTGGACAAGCACCTAAAGTCAGTTCCTGATCAGCCGGGCTGTGGCTCGTACGTTGGTTAGCGTGCAGCCAGCAGCAACAGCCTGGTTGATCAGGCTCTGATCCACCAGGAGGCCTGGTCACAGACCGGGCCGTGGGGGCGTTGACCCCCGGAACTCTCTCCAGGTAAACTCCAGGTAAAAGCTAACCTATGACACTGAGCTTGACTCTATCATCATTACTGATTCTATGTCATCATTGAAGGCTCTTGGCTCATATAATGACTCCAACAACATGCTCATTGGGGAAGCCAGGTATAGATACTCAAAAATTAGTGACAAAGGAATTAATGTACAATTGCTATGGATCCCATCACACATTGGATTACTCCTTCATGATAAAGTTGATATGTTAGCCAAGAAGAGTATCCAGAAGGAGAACGTAGAATATAACTTTGGTATAACTGTGTCTAGCATTAGGAATAATATTAGGAGAGAAGTAAATAATGAAGATGATTGTTATAGGAATGCAGTTAGAAGCCTGAGTAGATCTAAAACCCCCACTATGATAACATGAACGTAGATAAGTATGTTTATGGAGCAACTTGCAATGTGAACAGACTGACTTTGTTGATCCAATTGGTTGGAAAAGTCTTTGGCAGTTTGGAGACACGATGATGATCAAACTAAATGTTAAATTATGTGATCAGGCATTTGGTCACTCTCTTGAAACACTATGTGCTTAATTGTCCATTTTTATTGAGGAATACAAGACAGACGTAAAATTTAACCTATGTGACATGTCAAGATATCTTATTAATGAAAATAAGATACCAGATATACTAAGCAAATTTCCTAAATTTGCTTGTAACAGATAAGTGAACTATAGATATGTAGATATAAATCCATATGTATTCCTGTTAACCCTTTGGGGCCTAGTTCCTAGGCCTTTTGTGTATCCTCATGCTCTCGCGCTACCGTCCACAGGATGGATATGGGGTGCACAATAAACTAGCCACTTCGGTGGCAAAATCTCTTAGTTAATCTTAAGTTAATTTTAAGCCAGCCCGTAATGCTATGCATATAAGTGGCTTTGGCATGCTGCTCTTACCTGTATTTTTTGTACCTCTGTATGTATGCTTAAAAATTACTAAATGCCTTCCACATCCCCCCCCCCCTAGGCGCTGTATAATCCTCCGGGTTTAGCGCTTCCCCTTGATTATAATAATAACTAACTACACTATGAAAGCTGTCAGTGGCCCTTAAATCCCCCAACAAAGCTTGAAGTTGGAGATAGCTTCAATCTTTACTTACAAAGGAACTTTTGTTCGTTTTCTTTCATCGCTCAGCTTTGGGCAACAAATCTTCCTCGTAGCATCGAGAAGTCGGGCTCCATACGGTTTATGCTGTTAGTGGCCCTGATAAACCCAACAAAGAAGAACTTGGGGAGTGAGAGGAGACAAGATGGCAGCCATGGCCAGGACTGGTGTGTGGTGGTTCTCTCACAACCTCCACCGCATCAACCTCCATCAGGCACTCAAGCTAAACTCAACCTACTCTGCCTTCCTCCACAACTCTGCTGCTCTCAATGGTAGGTGTGTGCGAGGTCGGGTGCCTTATTTGGCTTTGTTGGATCACAACAGTCGCCTAAATTTTCACCGTGGTGTGGTGATGGACTCTTGATCCAAGGAATTAGTGCAACCATTTCCTCTTAACTAAATCAAATCTGATTACCGCCCATTCCCCAGATAGTGTAACCTTTGTTGTACATGTAGAAATAAATATTAATAGTAGAAGTAGTAGTACTAGTAATAGTACTGTACTAGTACCAGTACTATTAGCACCAGTACTACTGGTACAAGTAGTACCAGTATGTTAAGTAAAAGGACACAAGTGCAACTAATATGACATTATTATTGTGACAACGTTTCGCACTCCAGGAGCTTTGTCAAGCCGTTACAAACAGTACATGGACACACAGGGTATATATAGTCTGAGTGTGGTGCAATACTAGTGGTAGTAGTAGTAGTAGTAGTAGTAGTAGTAGTGATATAAGTTGTAGTAGTAGTAGTAATACAATATGGTTGAACAATTAACTTGCACATGAGTAAAAGGATATAAAAGCTATTACTTGGGAAACATAAAAATAGATTAGACAGATATTTTTATTGGAGGCTGGATAGAGGCAGCCTGTTTCAATGTTCATTCTCTGTAATGTGCTTGTGTAGTAATAACAGGAGAGACTATGTGATGGCAGGGTTTACTGTTTTCAGGAGGATTCTTGCTAAGACTTCAGAGATGGGGAAACTGCCTTTGTTTTGTTTAATCGTATTAGAAACTGCGATTAGTGATGATTCAAGGCACTTGTGTCTGCAGAAATTAGTTTCTTTGATCACTAATTGGACATCCCTGAATTTCATGAGATGATTGGTGGAATTTCGGTGTTGTATGCAGGCGTTGTTCAACTTGTCATTCCTACATGCATAAATGTGTTCATTGAGGCGAGTGTCAAGGTCTCTTGCTGTTTCACCCATCAGTGCCACGCTGAGAGATTTCAACTTAAGACACCTAAAATGGAGGAATGTAGCAAATAATGTTTTAGCAGAGATAATCCCAGGAGGCAGCTCAGATGAAAATTCACACACACGAGCTGTTAAATCTGCACTAAATTCACCTTAAACCTTATCTTAACTAACAGTGATAATCTGATATGGAATATGATTAGTATGTCAAAGACAATACACTAAGATCACAACATAAAAGAGTATGTATTACACCTCACTCTAAGCCTATATACATACCCTCTGTGTCCATATATTGTTTGTAATGGTTTGACAAAGCTCCTGGAGAGCGAAATATTGCCACAATAAAAATGTCACATTAGTTGCATTTGTGTCCTTTTACTTTACATATTGTCGGTAATTCTACCAACATTATTACAACATAAAAGAGGTACACGTGTATATGCGCATGACCTCAGACTAACAAAATGTGATGGGTCATGAGGGTGCCTTCACCAACTTCACCTTCAATAACAAAAACATATGGTGAGATCAAGTCAACCATGTTCTAAATGAAACAAGCTGGGAAGATATCCTAAACAACATGGATCCAAACCACTGCCTAGAAAGAATTAACTCTGTGGCACTCGAGGTATGATCAAGACTTATTCCTTTAAGTAAAAAGAAGAGAAGGTATAAACTAGAAAAAGAGAGATGCTCCCTATACAGGCAAAGGCAAAGAATCACAAAGCTGCTGAAAGGGGCAGTACAAAGAGAGGCACTGGCCAGAGAAATATCAAATGTTGAGCTTAAGCTTAAGGAATCTTACAGATTTTTAGATTAGATTTTGCCACCGAAGTGGCTAGTTTATTGTGCACCCCATATCCATCCTGTGGACGGTAGCACGAGAGCATATGGATACAGAAAAGGCCTAGGAACTAGGCCCCAATCTTACAGGAGACAAAAAATCAGGAAGAATTAAAAAACATAAATGAAATTGAAAGACACCCAGAATATTTCTTTTCTTATGCAAAAATCTAAGGCAAAAACAGCATCCAGTATTGGACCCCTTCTTAGACGAGATGGACTTGCACAGATAACAGCAAGTGGTAGTAGTAGTAGTCGTTGTCCTCATCCTCATCCTCGTCCTCGTCCTCCTCCACCTTCTCCTCATACTCAGGTTGTTATAGCCACGAAAAAAAGCATGGGTGTAATGAGTACACTAAGGGAAAACACTAAATATAAGAGGCCCAAGAATTTTCAACAGGGATTCTTGGTCTAAGGAATTAGAGATGACGGCAAGAATTATGTTTTCTCCAGTCCAACACCAGAGAAAATGTGTACACTAGTACAGTGGAACCCCGGTTTTCATCCTTAATCCGTTCCAGAAAGTCAGTCGAAATCCGAAATGGATGAAAACCGAAGTAATATTTCCCATAACAAATAATGTATATCCAATTAATCCTTTCCAGACACCCAAAAATATTAACAAAAAATACATTTTGTAGGGAATAACTATAGTTTTACATACAGAAAGCAATGAGAAATAAATATAAATGACTAATTTTAATGGATAAATGAACATTTAAATCACTATTACATACCTTTATTGAAGACTCTTGTGGGCATATGGAAGACAAGGAGGGGAGAGGGAGGAGAAGTTATTTTTGGAAGGGGAGTCCCCTTCCATAAGGACTTCAGGTATCAAAGCCCTGTCCAGGGTTACTTCCCTTCTTTGTCTTTTACTGGCACTTGGACCACCTTGAGAGTCACTGGACCCCTGTGGCACAAAAAATCTGTCCAGAGAGTTCTGTTTCTGGTCTCTCTTAAGATTTGCCTAAAATGGGACAAGGCATTGTCATTGAACATGTCGCAGACATGGCTTGCAACAGTTTTGTTAGGGTGATAATTCTCCACAAAACTTTGCACCTCACTCCACTTTGCACACATCCTTAATCACTGAAGAAGGCACATTCTCCTCTCTTTCTCCTCATCTGAAGCAATTTCCTCAGCTGTTATCTGTTGCTGTTCCAGTTGAAGGTCTTGCAGCTCTTCAATGGTTAGCTCTTCCCTGTGGTCCTCCACCAACTCTTCCACATCCTCGCCACTCACATCCAACCCCATGGACTTCCCCAAAGACACAATACATTCCACAATAGGCGTAGGGGCGTCAGGGTCAGCCTCAAACCCTTCAAAATCCTTTTCCTGGACACATTCTGGCCACAGTTTTCTCCAAGTAGAGTTCATCATCCTGGAAGTCACTTCCTGCCTAACCTTATCTATAAAGCTTATGCACTTAAGGATATTTAAGTGATTCCTCCAGAACTCTCTTAGGGTCAATTCAGTGTCCGAGGTCACTTCAAAGCACCTTCGAAAATTTGCTTTGGTGTAGAGTTTTTTAAAGTTTGAAGTGACCTACTGGTCCATGGACTGGATGAGAGGGGTGGTATTAACCCTTTCAGGGTTGACAGGCCCTCTCAGAGACTTGTTCTCAGGGTGTTCTCAGGGTCGCAAATTTTCAAAAAAAAAAAAAATATTTTTTCTTATGAAAGGATAGAGAATCTTTTCCCGATCATATTGACACCAAAAGTATGAAATTTGATGGAAAACTTACGGAATTATGCTCTTGCGAAGTTAGCGGTCTTGACGATGTTTACGCATTAGCGATTTTGCCCACTTTGAGCCCTATTTTCGGCCAAGTCCAGTGTACTAGTCGACAAAAATCATAACTATTTCGCTAGAACTCCATTCTTTCTATCGAATGAGTACAAGAAACCACCCATTTACCGATTTCAACTATCCAATACAGTGGTCAGAATTTAGCAATTTTGCCAATTTCACACAAATTTCAAAAGATGCCAATTTCCGAATAGGGTCCAGAATAAACAAGAAAGACATTCCTGGCACTAAAATAACATTTCCTCTGTTCATTAGTCACGTCCCCATGCCCCTCTTACATTCTTTTGCTTTCCACTTTGAATTTTTATTCTCACAAAAAAATAGAAGATTTACTGTTATGCAGACTACTGCATTAGTGTAGAAATGGTATAAATAATATCAGCGCACTTGTGAAAGAATATTAGACTCACCAGTTGATGTGTATTGGATGCTTGGCATGATTTGTTTACTTTTGAACTTTGGTAGAAATCACACATTTCTTCTACTTTGAGCTCAATTTCAAGGTACTTTTCATTGTAAAACCAGTCAAAATCATCTCAATTTCTGTAATACATAGCAGTGTATGTATAGAGAACCTAGGATAACCCAGAAAAGTCAAAGTGACTTATTTGTTTTAATGTTATCTTTGCACCATTTATAACATTTCTGGTATATTTTTAAATATTTACGTATACAGTAGTGTACTGTATATTATAATCAAAAGAATAGAGGAAGTCAGCTCTGATATACATTATTTAGGTATGCATACTGGTCAGAGAGCCTGTCATAAGTCCAAGTCGTTGGTAAACGAGTACATTGTCTAAGTGAGGAGTAGCTGTATACGTAGTAGTATAAGAAAATATCTCAGCATCTCCTTTCTGCATTACTGAGAGCCTTCTTTTTCTTGGAGAAGGAGGGTGAGAGGGGTTTACTGGAATTTACCTTGAGTTTCTTTGCAGAGGTCAGTGCCCAGTTCCAAACCAAGCCACCTGGTTGCTGGTCTTATCAATCAAGCTGTTAGTGCCTGAAGTCCACAGTCTGTGTATGCACCACAACGCAATTGATCGGGGAACAGTTTTGAGGAAGCTGTCAAGTTCTTTCTTGAAAACATTTAGGTAGGGTGTTGAGTCATGGTTCCATAACACAGAGTTTGCTCCGTGTACTCACCACTCCTTTCCTTTTCATTGGAGGTATCCTGCTAAGGCTCTTGTGTTCATAAGTAGTAATTTCAGTGTCCAGGTTGGGGACCAATCTTCCCATTATCTTCCAGTAGATTATGTATCTTTCTCACCTACATTCTAAGGAGCACAGTTCTAGGGACTTCAAACACACTTAGTAATTTAGGTGCTCTTGAAGTCCCAAGAACAGGAAACTGGAAAGTAGCTCTTGAAATACATAAGACCATGACCTGCTTGGTGATTAAACCATTACATACTATCATAGTGGTGCTGGATGTCAGCTTATAAATAACTGCTAGCTTATTGGTGCTAAATACTAGTCTTTATTAAAACCCTTTATCAGGTAAGGGGACATGTATGGTCCCCTACCTCAAAGGGTTCCAGAGTCCAAACTGGACACATGAAGTTATTGAAATTGCTTTTAATCGATAGGGTAACTCTTTATCCTCCTCAAGTAACCCATCAGATAGTCCCGACTCCTTCCCAAGGGGAGTGAAGAGATGAGATGTGTAACTGTAGTTACAGTCTTGGGAGTGGGCGGTTCTCTTTGCTCGTATGTTGGAATATGAATGTTTGGATTCACTTTCAACAGTTAATATAAGGTTTTAGAATGAGCCAGTCTATATTAAACTAGAAGTACACAGAAATCTCTCCTGTGCATGTGTGTGTGCATGCACACACTTGCCCAATAAAGGGTTGTAAGCATCAGCTCACTTACTGGAGATAAAAGCAAAGGATTGCTTTTATATGTTCTAGGATTACACTTTGAGAAAGCCAGTGACATCATATGGAGAATTACTGTTCTCTGTTGTCCCTGGTTCTTGAGACTGCAGTGCCTATTCAACATGTGTCTTTAATTAGATAGTGACTTCTCAATATTTTCACTCCTACTACAGTGGAACCTCAGCTTATGAGTGCCCCACCATACGAGTTTTTCAGGATACGAGCAGTCGCTCGGTCGATTTTTTGTTTCTGGATACTGGCAAAAATTCAGGGTGTGAGCTTCCCCCTCAAACAACTTTTTTTAGACCTCCAGATCTTACAAAAGTAAAAGTGAATATATAATTGTAGTTCATTGTCATGATATATTGTTGTTTTTACTGCTTAACACTATAACTGCAACAGAAATAATAGTATTTCTTACCTTAAATTGTGGGTGCTGGTGTTTGTCAATGATTGTGAAGAGAGTGGAGAGTTATGCTCTGGCCCTACTGGGCCACAGGTGGATGGTAGAGGTTCTGGTACCGAAATTGATGGTTGTACTGGAGTGTGCATAAATTCTGTAATGGATTTCTATTCTGTTTTACTCTGCAGTACATTGTACAACTGATGGTAAGGCATCAGCTGCTCTAGACACCGTTTCAGGGTCCTCTTCAGTGAAAAAGTCTTACTTTAAGTCATTCAGTAAGTCAGTCAGTAAGCCAGTCAGTAAGTCAAGTCAGTAAGTAAGTCAGTCAGTAAGTCAAGTCAGTAAGAACATAAGAAAGGAGGAACACTGCAGCAGGCTTGTTGGCCCATACTAGGCAGGTCCTTTACAATTCATCCCACTAACAAAACATTTGCCCAACCCAATTTCCAATGCTATCCAAGAAATAAGCTCTGATGTGAAAGTCTCACTCAAATCCAACCCCTCCCACTCATGTACTTATCCAACCTAAATTTGAAACTACCCAAAGTCCTAGCCTCAATAACCCAACTAGGTAGACTGTTCCACTCATCAACTACCCTATTTCCAAACCAATACTTTCCTATGTCCTTTCTAAATCTAAACTTATTTAATTTAAATCCATTAGTCATTCAGCAACACTGGTATGCCTACTGGGTGTCATGATTGCTTGGCAGATACAATATATGGTAATTAAAAGATCAAAACACAATTCACAAACACAGCTAGCTTGTAGGAGAAAAGTGGAACTGAACACGTAAGCTGGGATGGTGGTGTCAGGGGATGGCGGGAGGTCTTCCCCGCTGACCCACAACAAAGCGGCCACTTGAGGTAGGGAATGGCCGCCACTGCTTGTCACATAATGACATATTTTATTCATTCTAGAGTATATATCAGGTTTCTGTGTTATTTATATTGTTTATTATGTCATATTACATGACCGTCTGCCCGAAATGCCTAGCCATGCTAGGCGTTCTAGTGGTACACTATGTAATCATTATTTAACTACATGTAAAACCACACAACAACCAAATTCTGTAAATTCAACATTGTAGTCTTTATAGAGAATAAACTTTGAATTTGAATTTGAATTATGATAGATAAATAAGCTGTAGATTGATATTAGTGTCAAATTCCTGCCTCCTTGGAGCAGGAATTCTGCTGGAATGGATTAATGGCATTTCAATTAATTTAAATGAGGAAAATTGACTCAGCATACAAGCAGATCGGGATATGAGCAAGGTCAAGGAACAGATTAAACTCGTAAGCCGAGGTTCCACTGTATTTCCTTAATTTTATCTTTTAGGACATTTTTTGGTGTTCAGATTTGTTTCCACCTTTTTTAACTTTTTTTCATCGTTAGGAATGTCATGTTACATTAACAGATACCTGGTACATAAAATAGTATAAGGTATTCTTTTTTCTGGTATTAATTTATTTTTATTTAGAAGTTTTGAGTTGTCAAGGCACTCTGGATGCATGTCAGTTATAAATACAGTATAGTATCTTTCCAAATTGTAAGTGATACAATTTTGTTCTTTTATCTACTAATCTGACATTTTAATAATTGTGGAAATTATGTATAGTTTTCTCCACAGTGCAGGGATTGCCAATCAAAATGCCCTCACTTTCTCCCACCATGATGGAGGGAACCATAATCAAATGGCTGAAGATGGAAGGAGACCCTATTCAACCTGGAGATGTATTATGTGACATTCAGACTGATAAAGCAGTTGTTTCTTTAGAAACAGAGGAAGAAGGCATCTTAGCCAAAATTTTGGTATGTTTAGTAAATACATGTATACTCTCTGACCTATTTAAAGGTTTGTGTAATATTTATTGTCATGCATACTGGGTACAGGTACTCTCTCTCTATCTAGCCCAAGACATACAAATCCAGAAATCATTAAAAACCATATTTTTTTAAATGCAGTATTTCATTTGAAATTTGCCCCTCAAATCAGAAAGCAATCTTCCTTGGACCAAGACCAAGAATGTTCTCTGTTCATTGTTTTTCCTATTTTTTTACCTCATTGTATACTAATGCCAGAGCAGCCTGCAGATAGCACTATGGCTAGTAGTGTAACAAGACAACATTTTTCATACAGTACTGTATACTGCTCATAAAAGTGAAGCTGCTGGAAAACTTGTGATGGGTTCTTCATGAAAAGTTAAATAAGAAGTACCCTGTATCAAGTGTGTTTGGAAATATTCAGTGGCTCTAGGTGCCTGCAAACCATACCACTTAAGCTTCAGATCAATTAACAGACGTGTAGTATAATTTTAAAGAAGCAGAAGAATCAAATTATGAAGAATAAAAGAAATCACAGTACCATGGCTGGAACAATTCACTAAAAACCTACGCTTAGGAGAGGAGCCTTATGATGACATTTCAGTCGATCCTAAACTTTTGTAAAGTCACAACCATAATGTTCCTTTCCTAAGTGCAGGATCTTGGTGAGTGGATCTGATTATGTAGTGTATTGATGTAAAGTCTATAAAAATATGTTTAAGTATATTTTGTCTGTGTTTGATCTGCCTTTCCAGAAGTGCATGGGCATCTCAATTCAAACCACCCACAGAACTTCATCATTTGCCTAACCAGTTTTTCTGAATTCTTGCTCACACTCAGTATGTCATATCCCAAAAAATCACTCTTACATTATTGGCCATCTTCCAACAATTAGGGTGACTCCCCCCAAAAAAAGAAATGCTTTCACTATCATCCATTCAATACACAAATAACCTGCACGTAGAAGAGAGGAGCTTACAACGACATTTCGGTCCGACTTGGACCATTTACAAAGTCGCACTAACGAAACTTCAGAACACCCGTAACTTAGCCTGATTCCTCCTTTTTCTTCTTCTCCCTCTTCCCCTTTCCTCTTTCCTTTTTCTCCTTTGGGTTGTCTTCTACCTTGTGTGTTTGTTCCTTCTTTATTTATTTATTTATTTTTTCCCCCCTCTTTGTTCTTGCTCTTACCCTCTGTGGGTACCTAGCTTCCTTGCAGTTCTCCTCTTAGTATTTGACAGGCTCCTCCTTCTTACTACCTTCCCCACAACTACTACCTTCTACCTCCACTACTACTACCACCTCCTGCCTATATATACCCCTCCTCCTCTCCTTTTCGTTAGTGTGACTTTGTAAATGGTCCAAGTCGGACCGGAACATTGTCAAAAGCTCCTCTCTTCTATGTGCTGGTTATTTGTGTATCTTTCCAGTCACGGTATTGTGCGTTTTTTTGTTATCCATTCAATAATAGTCTTACCAGAAGTATGCTGAGATCACAATTCAGATAACCTTCTGAATTGCAACTTCACCTCTCCTTCAGCATGCAGGCACTACCCTTCCCATCTCTGACCAATCACTGTTCCTTAATCCCTTTTAAAATGTTACCTTGATGACACTACAACAGCACATCCATTAAAAACCACTTGTCTCCACTCAGATCTAACATGCTCACACAAGCCTGCTGGGTGCTCAAGCCCCTTGCACTTGCTCTCCTTTGTCCCCCTCCTTTCAACCATTCCTAGGATAACCCCCTTACCCCTCCTAACTTTCTCCCTAGATTTATACACCCTCATGGTCTTCTAGTTTCTGTGCTCCAAATGTTCCATATAATATTCATACCACACTTAGCTCTCAAACATGATATCTCCATTACCTCTAGCCTCATCCTTTGCTGCAGTGTTCAACACCCATGCTGTAACCCATATAAAAGTGTTGGTACCACAATTTTCTGGTATATTCTCCCCCTCCCCCCCTTTTTTTTGGCCTCCGTAGATTAACTTTTTTCTTTCCGCAAGTGCCTCAATACACCACAGACCTTTTTTCTTTTCATCTGTTCTGTCATCCGCTTTGTCTTTCATAGACCCACCTGCCGACATGTCTGTTTCCAAATCTCTAAATATACTCAGTTTCTTTATTGGAATTTATTTTCTCAACCTGAATTAAGTTTTATTTATTCTCTGTGTCCTACATACACTAAACATGCCCATGCATACCTTGCTTGTGGACAACAGACATGCTGCTGTTGGATTTTACAAACTTTCTGTGCCATGTTTTGTTGACATGTGCAGAGATAGTGAGCAAGGGAATTAAAAGAAAGGAAGGAGAGAGGTAAAAGATGGAGAATGAAAGGAAGGCAAGAGAAGTAAAGGAGGGAGGGCATTCTATTCATATTTCAGATTCAGAATAATCCAGTGTAGCATCATTAACCCTTAAACGGTCCAAACAGATCGACATTCAAATTCGTAGTGCTACAAAAGTAGATCTACTTTCTTTTACATATTTTCAAATATAACAAAAAAAATAGATAAAAGTTTTTTTTACACGTTTTCAGATGTAAAACAAAAAAGATCTACATTCTTTTACATACTTTCAGATGTTGAAAAAACACATACACCTACCATCCGACTTACGACCTGCTCGGCTTACGACCACTCGACTTACGACTGTGTTTTTTATGCCAAATTTCTGGGAAATAAACAACTATTTGTGTTGTACACAGTGTTTATCCTAAACTGTACAGTATAAAATACAGTACTAACAACATAAAAAGTAAAGCAAAACATGAAATACCAAAATAAAACAATAAAATAAAGTCATTACAAAAATGTTTTGTTGATACTCAGTAGTAAAGTTTGACTTACGACCATTTCGACTTATGACCGGTTTCTCGGAACCGAACTCAGTCGTAAGTCGGATGGTAGGTGTATATACATTTGGACCGTTTAAGGGTTAAGTTCAAAAGTAGGGAAGACACTTGTTATCAATACTGACATGAGATTAAAGTGTTCAATACACAACCTACACATAGGAGAGGGGAGCTTACGACAACGTTTCGGTCTAACTTGGGCCATTTACAAGCATTGTCGTAAGATCCCCTCTCCTATGTGCAGGTTATTTGTGTATTGTTCCAGTCACGGTATTGTGCCTTTTTGTTATTTAAAGTGTTCAGGTCACATGAATTGCCTGGCTTGGTGCTGCTAATATTTGATTTTGGCATCATGTACATTGCTCTAAGTGTTAAAATTGCATGAGGTAGGTTGGTTGTTGAATTGTGGATTGCAGCAGTTCCCACATTCAGCATATATCCAAGAAAATTTCCAAATCAGTAGGGATCCTTTCCAGGATACGGCACTGTGTATCCCAAATACCTGAGTGGGTGTGGGTGGGTGGGTGTGAGCTGGACCTGACTAGCTTGTGCTGCTGGGTCTGGTGCCGTGCTCCTTCCTTGAGTGGGTGGGTCATTGGGCTAATCCAGGGGGGAGGGTCCTTGGGCTAATCCGGGGGTGGGGTCATTGGGCTAATCCGGGGGGGGGATGGACCTGCTCCACATGGGTCATTAGGCCTGTTGCAGTGTTCCTTCTTTCTTATGTTCTTAACCCTTTGAGGGTTTCGGACGTACTAGTACGTCTTACGCGCAGGGGTTTTTGACGTACTAGTACGCATAAATTCTAGCGCCGTCAAATCTCGTGGGAAAAGGCTGGTAGGCCTCCATATGAAAGAATGGGTCTATGTGGTCAGTGTGCACAGTATAAAAAAAATCCTGCAGCACAGTGCATAATGAGAAAAAAAAAACTCACCGTTTTTTTGGCATAAAACAGCGACTTTGCTCTGTATTTTCGTATGGTATTTATTGTTGTATTCTAGTTTTCTTGGTCTCATTTTATAGAATTGAATGCATATCACAGAAATTGAGATGATTGTCACTGGTTTTACAATTAAAAGTACCTTGAAATTGAGCTCAAAGTAGGAGAAGTGTTCGATTTTTACCAAAGTTCAAAAGTAAACAAATCATGCCAAGCGTCCAATACACATCAACTGGTGAGTCTAACATTCTTTTGCAAGTGCGCCAATATGATTTATATCATTTTTTACACTAATGCAGTAGTCTGCATAACAGTAAATCTTCTATTTTTCGTGAGAATAAAAATTCAAAGTGGAAAGCAAAAGAATGTAAGAGGGGCCTTGAGACGTGACTAATGAACAGAAGAAATGTCATTTTAGTGCCAGGAATGTATTTCTTGTTTGTTCTGGACCCTATTCGGAAATTGGCATTTTTTGAAATTTGTGTGAAATTGGCAAAATTGCTAAATTCTGACCACTGTATTGGATAGTTGAAAATGGTAAATGGGTGGTTTCTTGCACTCATTCAATAGAAAAAATGTAGTTCTAGCGAAATATTCATGTTTTTTGTTGACTAGTACAGAGGAATTGGCCGAAAATGGGGCTCAAATTGGGCAAAATCGCCGATGCATAAACATCGCAGTGACCGCTAACTTCGCGAGAGCATAATTCCGTAAGTTTTCCATCAAATCACATAATTTTGGTGTCATCATGATCGGGAAAAGATTCTCTATCTTTTCATAAGAAAAAATAATTTTTTTTTTTTTAAATTTGGCCGACCCTGAGAACGAGTTTCTGAGAGGGCCTGTCAACCCTCAAAGGGTTAAATGAAACTCCTTACCCTATACCATTCTTTAATAAATAACAAAAAAGACACAATACCGTGACTGGAACGATACACAAATAACCCGCACATAAAAGAGAGAAGCTTACGACGACGTTTCGGTCCAACTTGGACCATTGACAAAGTCACACTAACCAGAAGTGGAGCAGGACAGCTATATATAGGCAGGAAGAGGGTGGTGGTGGTGTAGTAGTAGTAGTAGTAGTAGTACAAGAATGGTATGTAATACCGACAAGATGAAATTAAGACACATGCGCAACACCCGGGCATCCCTATCGTAGACGTTTCGCCATCCAGCCAGCCA